AAAAAAAAAAAAAAACAAACTTTGTATTATAGAAAAAGTACATAAATATGTGATATAAAAAGTGATATAAAGTTGAAATTTTTATGGTATAAGCACAACAGACTTTACGGACTCATGATTAAATATGATACTAATGGGAGGTGATGATCAGACATCTGTGTTTCGTGCTGGAACACACAGCGAGAATTACGGACATTTCTCTTCGGGTAAAATTAGCTTCGCCGGTGGAATCTTCCTCCATTCCAGCAGGTGATCACATGTCCCGTCATATATGATGGAAGATTCATGGAGGTCCCATTGTTACATAGAGCGAGAAGAGAGGCTGGTAACGCTGTCGCGTCGGTTCGTTCATCCCGCTTCCGCGCCAAGTAGGCGAAAGCGTACTTTTATCACTGTCGAGGAACGGAGGAATGTTCGTTCTTAAGTCCTACGTGCATAAGGTCTAGATTCTATGGCACGAATTATACGATATTTGGACCAACGTACACCCGCGCCGCTCGCGGTGTTTCACATTGGCGTCCGGTGAAGAGCAGCCGAATCTTTCCACCGAATTACGAAAACAGAACACAGGATCCATCATAGATATCGCGTGGCAAATTCTACTTTTCTATCGCGTACATACGTACCTTTGCGCGCATTACACATCGTGTTACGTAAAAAGTTACGCAGCCGTTTATAGAACAAATCGTGCTTTCTTCAACAGCCATGCGGCAATGATACTGTTTGTATCATTACGTAAACTTTTTCTTCAACCTTCCGCGCCTCTCGTCCCTTTCAATGGGAAAAATGCTCCAATGAGGAAGGGAGAAACTGGGTACATGTAACAGAACACGGATCCACAGTCTCTCATTTAGAAAATGCCACGTGAAACGACCGACGGGAATACGTTACCTGTCGGATGCCAAGCCGCGGCGGCGCGGCGGACGCGAAAGGATAAATCGAGTTCAGCTATGCGAAACTAATAATGCCCGTGCCTGTCCGGCGCGGCGCGGCGTTCCCTCGAAACGCACAGCTACGTGCTTCCGTAAATGAAGCCGATATATAACGGCGGGAGTATATAATATAAATTAGCGAATATACGATGTGTCCGCTCGCTCCTTTACGTCGCTCCGCAATTCAGCGCTGACTCATGCTCAACGCACACCAATTGAACGCTACGTATGATGACTCATGCACGCGTATTACGGTATCTCCTCCCTTCAGTATGACGAATCAGGATACGTTCGAGAGAAGAAAACAAAAAATTGAAACGTCCTATTGCGTGTGACACATTCTAAACTCAGAACTAAACTTGATCCAGTTTTCTCCAAGTGTTCAACTTCCGATAGATAGACATATCTGGTAAATACAACAATTAATCTCCCGGCTCAGAAAATGCAATATTTATTTACAATTACGCAATTGCATCGTGAGTTACTCTTTTTCTATCTATAATACCATCTGTTTCTCGAACTAAATTCGCGGTTACTTTACATCTGCACGCGCAACGTTTTTCTATATTTTTCGAAGTAGGTTGAACTAGAGTCTCTAGAAATAAGAGTCTGGACAATGTTCCAGTTTGACAGAAAATGTGCACGTACACTTGCACAATTGTACAACGCGTTTCACGCACTTACTTTTCTTTTTTTTTCACGCGTTAAGTTATCATTTAATTAATCATCACGTGATTAGTTACCAATTGTCATTTTTCATCAAGCCAATCAAAAATAGTACAATACAGGAGGAACAGACTCTTAAATGTAGGATTTCTAGGTTGAATCATGTATAGCGTCCACTAGCAGAACCAACACGATTGAGAACCCGGGACATCGACCGCAGAATTTTCATAAGTCCCGACCGGGAAAAGTGTTGTTAATTAAAAGCGTAAAGTTCATCTTGGGTAAGGCACGTTGAACCCGACGAGACTTCCCTCGCATCGGAGTTACTGCATAACAATAAATTCGGCGCGGAAAGTTCGCGGCGGGGTTGGTCGGCTGCGCATAACGGGCGCTGCTCGAGGTAATAACTCGAGTTTTGGAATAACCGTTTGCTCGCAAATTTCTCCGCGAAGAGAGGAAACTTCCGGTACTTGTCCCGGCGATGTATATGTATATGCTCGAGCCTATTGTGAAATGAAAGAAACTTGCGACAGATAATTATTGTTGTGTAATTAGAGACGATTCACCTTCTTGGAGATATACCACTGCTCTCTCGGAATTTCATGCAAAAATTCTCTAAAGCTCGTAAGTGATTTATTACAATAGATTTTTTTAAAATAAGTATTTTTTATTATTTCTGAAAAATTGGAAAAATCGTTTATATGTTCGAAATTTCTCATAATTTTGTAATAATTTTAATCCTACATCGGCAGTGTGAAATTTCCATCCTTCGCATCCCAAGATCTTCGAACTTCAGTATAAATCTTTATGTCGTTTCGGAGATTGTGTAAAAACTAGAAAATAATTTGTGTAAAAACTTCTACCGTAATGAAAGTAGAAAATCTCAGATTGTATTTTATTTATTTTTTTATAAATTTAAATTTGTCTATCAGATTTTATAATTAAATATGTGTTTTTAAGGTTTCCAAGGAGAGGATTAAAATATTGTTTGTATCGTTGAAAACAGCTCCTACTCGCTATTGGAAGCATATTTTTCCAAAAATCTAGCATGATTAAAATTCAATTTAAATTTTAACGATTTAAGAATATAATTTTGAGATCAATGACGATGTATCTTGCAAAAATTTCTTTCGGATAATCTACCTCTGATAATTTTGGGCACGCAAGAAGCCAACCGGCTGCTCGTTCGAATATATTACAATTTCTGTGTGTTTCACCCCGTATACACTACTGACCCAACCCTTCCGCAGTGCTCCAATCCCCTTTGAACACCGCGGCTCTGTATGAAGTATAACACTTTCGGTGTCGCGCACACGAGAGTGGCGCGTTGTTCTCGCACGAGTACGACCCCGTTAGAGCAAAGGGAAGAGATTTTTCATTCGTATACAGAGCTGCTCGAAACTGCGGTGGTACACACATTTTCACAATGACCCGTTTAGATAACTGCAATAGTAATCTTTCTCTACAGGGGACTTAAAACTAGCAGCGCGAATCATCACAATCCAAAAAATATGGATACAGATTTAACATCAACGTGCGGTCTTTATACATGTATAATCCTCCAATCCCGTTGATATAAACACCAACATGGTGAGAGTTACATAAATAAAAATATGATTTACTCTCTTGGAGATAACACTTTGCACTCGGAATTTCGTGCGAAGATTTCCCTTAAAAAACTCGCGAGATGATTTTATAATAGATATAAAAAAAAATACAAACGCCTTTTATATATTATTTCTGGAAATCAGAAAAGTCGTTCTTATGTAAAATTTTCAAGATTGAAATGAGAATTTTTAATAATTTTTGTATCAATATAAAAATAGTTCGCACATATATATATGCCGTATTAATAGTTTTTAGAGCATATTAAATACGTCAAATATCATTATCTTTAGAATATCTTCTTTTTAAGAGAAATATCATTTCGATCTTTCCGAGAAGGAAAACGGGTACATCATTGGACACTTTACATGACACATGTGCAAGTAGATAGAAACATTCGTGAGACGTTGAAGAAATACAAGGAGAGAGATGACGCGAGGAGACGTCTCTCCCCTCCTGGGCGTCCAGCAGTATATACGTATCTTAAAATGCGGGAACGCATAAACAGACGTCACGTCTCATCCATGCCGCATTTAACGCATCGCGAAATCCTCTCTGTGCCCGCAGAATGGACATCCTGCTGCGAGACATGAATGCGCCGTGGCGATGACAAGCCTGATCTTGGAGAACGCCGACTTGAATCGACTCTTTCCGAAATGCCGGCCTAGGGGCGGTCCACCCCCGGCCCCGGGGGCCTCCACGCAGAGCAGCCAGCAGCCGCATGACAGCCCCTGCCAGACGGAGGCCGTCGCTATCACCACCACCGTCACCGCCGCGACCGCCGCAACAGCCGCTGTCACCATCGCCTCTACGAACACGTCGACGAGCGCCTCCGCGATATCGGACGACATGATCGACCTCGAGCGCGACACCTCCGACAGGCAAGTTAAACCGATTTACCCAAGTGAGGGGGGAGGTAAGAGAAATTCGGGTTAATCGAGCTAACTCCGTAACGTACTACGAGAAAAGGCCGATGACTTTGAATCTAATATTCGAATATATGCAGAACATGTCTGAAATTGGTGTCGATATTTTATAAAGATTCATTTTACGTAGCAGAGCAGAGCAGAAAATTTATATACAATATAAAGTACCAAATACGCGCGCGGAATAATGTTATATACATTATACAATTGTAGTTTTTAACAGTACATTTAACAATAATTGTAGCTTTTACCCGTATCACTTTTTAATGAGCTCGGAACGAGCAGAATATTAATGATATGAAAGATTTTATTTCTGCACATATTTTTATCAATGCAATTGTTCCACTTAACGTTTTCATGCAAAATTATAGGATGGTTAATTATGTAATTGAGGAGCCAGATGGAGCGCAGGCGAAATGAAGATGAAAAGCTACGTCGCGAGAGGAGTGTAAAACATAATTAGATTTATTGGACGAAGATACGTCGCACACCTTCGAGAGTAAATTTCTTCTATCAACTATTTAATATAATTTTGAATGTAACTTTAAATTTTTGGTGAAATAGGTCGAAAGATCGCAGTTAGTTCCATCGAACTTCTCAATTAATAATAAACGTGTGCTGTCGATTCCCACCATAAAGCGTTGGTCCGGGAACGTTTCTTCTTTTTCTTTTTCTTTTTTTTTTTTTTAATTGTACTTCCTTCACCGATTGCCGATTGTTAAGAGTGCCAAGTTACGTTCGTAGGTATAGGAAACGAGCGAATGGCAGAAAAAAATCAGGTTCGCTGTCCCGTAGGACGGCGAGCGTGGTGCCCGGTTTCACGGTCGAGGGCCAACTGCCGCACGCCACGAAGCCGCTTTCGTCGAGCTCCTCCTCGGCGTCCGGACGCAGTGAGGACGCGCCACAATACGGTAGCCTGCCGGGTAGTGATCATCAGGGACAATCGCAGCAAGACGATAGCGAACCCGAGGGAAGCCCTGTGTACATTTTGACCTCGGCCAAGGGAGGCCCTAGCTATAAGCTTCGGGATTCGAGGTAATCAAGAATCACTTAACGTTCTGCAGAAATGTTCATCAACCCGAAAAATACATTTAACAGATAGAAGGGCTCTTCGTACATGAAATAAATAACAATAAATAAAAGGGCAAAGTAAGAGTCGAACACATTTTTTAAATTGTCCAACAATTAAAAAGAATAAATTACAAATAAAGAAAAGTAAAAATGAAAGAAATAATAAAAAAAAAAAACTCAGTTTAAATTCAAATGTAAAACGTTACAAGTTTCGGCTACCGGATTGAGCCCTAAACAATTTTGACAATTTAAAAAAAAATGTGTTCGACTCTTACTTTGCCCTTTATTTACTGTTATTTATTTCGAAAAATACACTGACAGTTCCGGAATATTTATTACCAATGGAAACGTTATACTTTAGCTACGTTTGCCATATGCATGTAGCAAATTGCCGCTATTTTAGTCGCCATACTTTGGAATACATATGAAAAAATATTCAAAACAAATATTCAAAAACATATTATAAAATATTTACGATTAATCTTCCAAAATATAGAAAAAAGGATGGGAATACAAACTTTTAGTGAGTACTAAATACCTTCTTTTTTGTATATTTGTAGTTAATGGGATTTAAAAAATTAGCTGAATGGAAGATGGGAGAATTGAGTTAATTTAGTACTCTGTTCGGTCTCTACACAGAGTGTCTTAATAATTATTATCGTCATAAATATCTTTGAATTTATAAAGAGGAAAAGTGTAACCAAAATAACACGAAAGGGGCAAGTAATAATTTTTTTTCAGGCGGAGATGCTTCGGAGATTTCAAAAATAGCTGATTTTCAGAAAGATACGTTTGCATATTGCAAATTGCACAATTTCTTTATATCAATTAATTCAGCTCATCATTCAGTGTACAAAAGTGTTGAGGTACGATTGTCAAAAAATTAATACAAGTTTACGAGATGTTTTATATTTCATGTTAAAATGTGCAAGAATAAAAGTATAAAAGCTCTTGTAAACTATTGACTTTTTGATATCTTCATCTGAATACTTTTATATAGCAAAATATTTAGAGATGCCATATGTTACTTAAAAAAAAATCATGTAATTTTCTTCAAAAAACGAAGACGCCCTTGAAATCTTCAAAGCGTTTCCACCTGATCAAACATTGTTATTGCAACATGATAATCCCCTTCTGTGTAATTCGGCTTACACAAATTTTCCTTTGGACTTCAATAAATTCAAAGATATTTAAGGTAATAATTAATATGTAGTTTACATAATATATTATAACATTATACTATATAATGTACTTAAAAAATTTGGATGACGAAAATGTACCATGAATAGTAATGAAAAGTGCACCGAAGAGAAGGGTCACGGTTTCAATATTTAAAAAGGAAACGAGTTAAAATAGAAATTAAAGTTAATTTGTAGGGCGTTTGAATTACCAAGTTAAACGGTTAAATCGTGCGGAGGAATCGATAACGGGCGGCGGAAGCCGACGTGTGCGAACACTTGTGTACACGCAAAAGTGTGTTACGTGTCGTATCGCGACGTTAAATTCGAGCGTTCGCTCGCGATGTAAATGTGTTCGTCGTGACGATGAAAGTCCATTTGACGTACGGTCTTTGTGTATCTACAGCGGACACGAGCGCTCGGTTTTGATAGTCGATACAGTTTCTACAGAGGTTTCCACAGAGCAGTGAGGATTCCAGCGCGCGTCATGTCCATGTATATTCAATGGAGCGTTAATTTCAAGCTTAATACCGACGATATACTCCAGCGGAAATGTCAGTCAAATATCAGCCGCTCTTCTTCGCGTCTGCCGTTAATATGTCGCGCGGGCTATTCGATGTACAGCAAACAAGTCAATATACCCGCGACGGTGTAATCTGCGTTCGGCAAATATTTTTCCCCTCTTTTTTTTTTCTTTCTTTTTTTCCAGACGTGGCTTCTCGCGACGGAACGTCTTCGCCGGCAATATTCCGCGATTTGCAGCGAAGTCGCATCAGTTTCTTATCAAAGAGTTCAACTTTAACCCTTTCAGTGTTCAGTGAGACATGTTTCAGCGTATTAAAAAAAAATCACATTTCTGATGAATATCGAGTCATTAGAGTTGAGCAGGGCTTATTTTAAAAGGATTTTGCTTAAACTCTAATAAAAAGAAAAAAATAAAAAATAAAAAAAAAATTAAAATATGACAATGTGATAAATATTATTTAAATCATTTAACGAAATGCTTCTTTTCGTGTTCTAATGGTGCCTAATATATATCTTTTCGAATCTTGTTCTAAAACTATTATCCCAAAGGTGCGCATAGTTAGATAAAGAAACTTTAATATCTTTATATCTTTATGAATGAAACAAGTTGTAAGGAATTTCCGACGTGGTATCGGTTTATCATTACTAATCGATTGACACTCAAAAAGCGACTCGCTTATCGACAATGATAATCCGTATGTAGATAGACGTCCGAGTACCTTTTATTTTCCGATATTTCTGTCGTTCCGTATTTCGATCCGTATTTGCTCGGGCATAGTCGGCGAACGCGGATACCCGATAATTTCAAATTATCCCGTGAAGTTGTCCATTATTGGCGAAACTTCACGCGCGCAACATACGATCGGAATTACCCGATATATCCGACGGATTTTTAAATCTAAACTTTTAGCTCATATCCCGCTGAACATTCGATATGCGCTCTGAACTTAGCGATAAAGTTCGACTTATCTTCACTTTAAATGTTCTGAGAAGTTCACTGTTGCACACAGATACAATATCATTCTATTTCTGAGAAAAGTGATTACTCAATTTACTTTCTTCCTTTCAAGTAACGATTATCTTGAGCAAAGAATATTTTCTTTATGTGATAACAACCTCAAAATATACTTATTACAAATTAAACAAAATTCATTTAATATCCTACTAAAAAAAGAATTTATTAATTTATTAATTTTTTTTTTAAGCACGTTATAAAATTGATTGAAGAAGCGACTTAACAAACTATATTTAACCAGAACGTTACACCAGTATCATAATTTCAAGTGTAATATATAACACACGCTGTATCTATACATAATAATTATACTATTGAGTAGGAAATTGTAGTATCGATATAAAACATTGCCATATTCAGAGTGGGAGAGTTTGGGGATTCAAAAACATCCTCCGAAATTTGCGATTAAAAATTATGATTAACAAAACCTATTTTTTTCATTTAAAATCAGGAGCGAGGAGATGTAAGCTTTAAAATATCGAAAAAGAAGTAATTTGTTGACACAAAAAATTGCTCTTATGCGATAACAAATTGATAAAAACTCCTTCCCCTCTCCTGAAAAAAACCTTTATAAATACTCACTGTCAGTTTATATTCAGCGGGAGGGAATCTCTCTCTCTTTCTGTTCGTCGCTCGGGTGACCCGCGGTCGGTCTTGATCCGTCATTGATTCTTCTTGACGTCGGTTGGTCTGTAAACTGTAAATCGTCGAGGAGATAAGACCGAGTCGTTCCAAGTTCCAACTGCTCCAAGCTGCTGCGACGGGAGCGCATCCAAATGGGCGCCACGGGAGTTACTGGGCTTAAAAGTCGCGCCCGTTTTCTTTCATATGTACTACACACGTTTCCTCGTCGTGAACGCTTTGTCGTCGTGATTTCCGCGCCAGCGGTGGACCCGATGAACATTTTTCAATAAAACATTCCAGGTGCCGACAGGGCCGTATTACTCCTAAGACTGATAAATTGTGCGTGAGACCGGAATCGGTCCGACCGAGCGCGTCGAATTGAATGTAATCGTGGAATGCAAAACACGGAGTACTCCACGCGTCAATTTTGGGGTTAACTCTCCCTGCCTGTCAGGTCAGTCAGGTGTTCAGTGTTGTCTGATCTAACATCGGAGTTTCGAGGATTCGCCACTTGTAATCGTCCACGTGCACAATTTGACGATGCAACAGAGAGAATGTCGCTTATCGACTACAGTATAGTACGTTGTGCAAATATTGCCCTCGTCGAATCTGACGTCGAGATTTATTACGTTCCGTGCTTAATGATGATTTTATAAAAATGAGCAGCTGCTGCAGAATATTTCGTTCGTATATCCGTGAGTCATCTGTTTCGAAAGCTGCTTTTGGTTGAATGTTAAAAATATATTTAATTTGGATGGAAAAAGTTACAGAAACGAACCTGAGCCCGAACCAGAGTATATTAATTTTATGCATGTGAACATCGACAACTTTGACGAGCGTTAAGTTCGCGTAAGATAATATGAAAATGACCAACGTATAATTTAGGATTGTTTTGCAGTCATATGAAATCGTCATGAGTATGTAACAGTTCTTGTATTGTTCCTGCAGAATTATAGAGATCGCTGGTGGCCGAGAGGTATTCTCGCAGAGCCGAGGGAAGGTGGCAGCTAGAAAGTCGCGATTTCTGGCTGCGTCAAATTCCATAAATAATGAGGATAATATTCAAACTGATAATAAGTTGTCTGTTAAGAAGAATAATAAGTCTCCTAACTCGCAGACCATATGGGAGCTACGAAGTCGGTAATTAAATTTGTATTTCATCTGTCGTACAAAGACCCTATTGCTTGTAACGTTCTCTTGTGCCCTACAAATTGTTATAACTTTTTTTCAGATGCGGTGAAACCAGAAAGCAACGTGCAAATCGAGAAGTGACGGAGACCGTGTTTGCTTCCGAGGTACATTCGGTGCGACGTAACGCTACGAAATCCATTCTCGATTACGACTCTCCTAAAAGCAACCGCAGCAATCGCATAATTAATTACGATTCAATCTTGAATAGCAATAATGTAGAATATACCATACCAAAAAGTATTACCGATTTGGACTATGGATTACCAAAGAGCTGCGTAGATTATCAATCGAATCACAACACCCCCGCGAGAAGTATGGCTATTGTCAGCGACGGCGAAGTTGTGGTATTCGATGATATCGATGACAATTGGCAGGGGTTGCGATTGGATTTGGCGTCGAGCAATACGAATCAAGTTACGACGACGAATCTAGACTTGGAGACAGACGATTCGCAAAGAGGTCGTATTGCACCGGAACCACCGAGTTCCAGCGTTGGAAGTACTCCTAGTCCTACGACGGCATATCATCGCAATACTTCAGAATTTTTCAAAGTAATATGCAAAGTATATGCATAACAGACACACGTGCGTTGCTTAATTGCAAAGAACTTTTTACAAATTTTTAACTTTTGTAGGTTGTTACACCAGCGAGTGATTGCGAAGCAGATTCTCCTTCTCCAGAACGTAATCATAAGGTTGCGAGAGTAATTGGTGAATTACCAATCGCTCAGTATTCTGGCAGCCCGAGACGTTATGGAGTTCGTGAAAATACACAGCTTCCTAGCTTATTATCATCACCTTCAATGTATATGACACCGAGACCTGGTTTCCCTCAAAGAGTATTGCCAACAACACCAAATCACAATGAGGTAAAAAGATATATATCATTTATGGAATATTATATCGAATGACTTAATAGTCTCTAATACTTCGTCACTGTATCTTACATTCCAAGAAGGAAGATACTTCTGCAGAAATCGTAGTAGACAAGACTGTGATAGAAAATATTAGCACTGAAGATCAGCCTATACATTCTTCATCTCCATCACCAAAGGTCGAAGAGGAAGAGGAAGATTCTTTAAAGCCATCAACTTTGCCTGCTGATAACATAAGCAGTCTTGTCTCGCCGGGAGGTAGCACCTTCGACTATTTATATGAATTTTCAGAGACACGGAAAGTGTTAGAAGAATTCTTCAAATGTCCGGCGCCGACGAAAGAAAAAGAAAACAATATAGAATCCTTTCCTTTTCAGGTAAGTCTTTGCTGAAACATAAAAGAATTCATAAATATTTGTTTACGAGATATTTTGTTCTTTTCAATGAGATCTATAAAATGTATGTCAAATAAATAAATAAATATATAATATACATGAAAGTTCATAATTAGAAAAATTCTTAAGGTAGTGATGTTAAAAAAAATCCAAGCAAATATTTGATCCAAGAACATATATTCATGCATAATGAATAAATTAAAAGTTTGTAAATTGTAATTGAAAAATTACTTTTTGTTGTAGGATCTTGATTATGAATTAAGAAGGCAAGGTGGAAGTGCATATGTTGGTCAACGATTAGCCAGTGGTCCACCTGCAACAGAAGAGGTTATGGTACATGAGTCTCCTAAAAAGCAACGGGCAGAATTTCCGCAAAATGTAAGTATGACAATATAGTAAAAAACATTATTTTAATAATTTTTTTTATACCATTAATTTTGTTTCTTTATGTATTAGTTAAGTTTATATAAAATTAATATTTATTTATGTATTATAAAGTTAGATGCAATAAACAAAAATACTTTTAACGCAAATATTATGTTTTTAACAATTCTTAAATATTAATTATTAATGTTTGGAAATTATATTGCTTTCAGTAGTCACATAGATTCTAAATATAAATCTATATTTATAGATACAGTTTTTAAAATTACACCGTATAGCTGCTTGAAAAATTTTTCCACTTTAAAACAGTAATTACGGTATTATGAAGTAAATATTTATATTTGGCTTTTTGTGTTCTTTAGACAGGTGAACATGAAAACAACTTTTTGGACCTCTCAGTAGGTACTGGCAGCAGTGAAGATCTTGGAGAGACTGAGGTTGGCTTGCAAGTGGGACACTCGCGTAATTTTACACTAAGCCCCGAGACAACCGACTGTGACAGTAATTGCGGCGACTTGGACAGCGAGGTATCCCTCATGATGATGGATAATGAATTGATGCCAGCAAGTGGCCTTCTCGGATCGGTCGGCGATTTGGGGAATAATTCGGATTCCCTGAGAATATACACTAGTATGCCGGTATTAGAAGACGGCCTGTCTAGTGGACACGCGAGTGATACTGACAACAATAATCCTACTGTGATGCTTATGAAACGGCAAATAAACGAGATAGAGAAAGAGATCATACAGAGAACTCGTAACGACATGTTAGGTACGAATGAGAATGACTCTGGGAAAGACGTTAGTCTAAATGTAACAAAGGATATTTTACACACGTTGAAGACTACATCTCCTGATCTATTTGTCGCGAAGAAGGAAAATTCGTACGACACGAACGAGCTCCAACTCGATGGATTGGATCCTCTGGGCACGCCGCCGCCTCCGGCACCTCAAGGACGACAGAGTGTATCCTTAGAAGTAAATTGTGGAGAGGTGGAAGCAGCCATCAAAGATATTAGAATGGCCTTACAAAGGACTAAAGCTCTACCTGTGAAATCACCATCGGAAGAACCACCAGAACCGAGCGTTAGTCCGATATGGATACCAAGGTATTTTACGTTTCGTTTTATGCGGCTAAGGGTATTCCAATTGTTAAAATTTGTCCATTATTTTGCCTTGGTACTTTTTTTACTTACCACTATGAAAGTTCTCCTTTTACGACATCGAATATACGTTTGGGATACCCTTTGGGATACCTCTGTGTTGCGTATAAACGCATCTAACTAAGATGCAGTATAATGGATGGCAGGCGGAGAGTCTGTATGGAAAGCAATAGCGAAGAATCTGATGCGCGTCGTATAGGTGACGAAGCTGATGTAGAAATTGAGGAATGTCCAGACGAAGAGGAAGCGGATACCGATCTTGAAACAGATCGATTGCTCGGACAACAAAGAACGGACGATCAAGGATTTTACGACGATAAGGTGAGCGTACACTCGATGCTTAACAGTCCGTTCTGTCGTACTATTCTTATTAATCATTGTTTAGTAATCTGTTTCTTAAATAAGGATAATTAGACTAAATTAAATAAGTTACAACACTTGTATTATCAATATATCATACATACTCTATTCACAACTTCCTACTAGGTAATATTGAGACGGTGCTAATGCGTTTAAATTCAAGAAAAAAAAACAGGATACGAATAATCTACATTTTCCCCGTACTTTGTGTTATTTGATGGTATCGGTGTTCTACTAATATCGTCTTGGTGTTATGCAGGGGTGGAGGAAGCCTAAGACTAGGACTATGTTACCACCAATGAATGCGAAAGTCGCTACTCCAAAACAAACTCCTCCTAAATCTTTGAGTGTCGCCCCGATAGAAACGCTAGCGCCTTCCGAGCCCATACCCTCGACGTCTGCCTCGATTTCCCCTCCTCTTGTAGTGTCTGTTATACAATCGTCGTCTTCTAACGAGTGCGAAGTAGCCACTCCCGCGCAACCTACATCGAGTCCGCAGAAGACCCCAGTCAAAAACTCCCCCTCATCCCCTCAGAGCCTCAAGGAATCCAACAACAAGGTGAAAAAGGTGCCCTTTCAAATGCTACCACGGAGTCTGTTTTATTATTAGTGACTATAGATATCTATATTTCTAGTGAGCTTGCGCGAAATAAAATAGCACACATTGGTGCATGATAGTACTATCCTTCTGTTGCTAAACGAAATACATCCTAATCAGCTTAAATATATAATTTTTATATTTAAATATATAATTTAAATATATAATTTGTCTGTTAATTCAAA